TGAATACTAAAGGGTGGCTACTTTCAGCTACTTAAGGTTTCCCTAGCAAGTGAGCCTTTATTTCTCGCAGATTGCTGACTGACAAGGCCATTCCACGTTATTGCCAACAATAATTCACACGCAACAAACGATGGGCGGTGGATTTGGGGGGAGGCGGAGGGGAGGGGCTCACATCCACCCACACTGGGGTGGCAATCAACAATTGTTGCATGAATAAAGCGACTAGCAGACAGGACATTGAGGCTAATGATTGCCAGCGCACACAGATCACTGAGCAATCTTTGACGGGCGGGGGGTTGTCAGTTCTAATGCTGAAAATTGTGCCATCAAAAATAATGCGGAGGCGGGTAATTTTCCCCCAAACTCCCTCGCTCCTTTCTCCCCCCCAAAAAAATATCTAGCACTTGGTGGCCCAAGATAACGCATTAGATGATGGAAATTATCCGGGACAATGGGAGGAAGCCTGTCGACAGGCCATTGTGGTTCTCATGCAACTTGAGAAAGTGGAAACTGGAGACAGGAGGAAGGGGCGAGAAAGTGGGCCAAAATAGGGGAGAAAGCGGACTTGACTTGCCGTGGGCCAGAGGTGAACATTGACAAATGAAGGTCCTCAAATGGGGCAGAAATTGAAATGAGGCAGTGCCTCCCCCGGCCAAAAAACCAGTTGGGAAATAAAAGAATAAAAAATTATTTAACCGTCTTTTCCTCATTTTATGTTGTAAAAAAAACACTTGACAGGCTTAGCCATCAGACCATCACAACGAATTTCATTTAATTTATTTTACATCCCAAGCAGTGTTGTCCCCAAAATCAATTAAAATTCAAGTTTTTAATACAGATTTTTAGAGAATTTATGCACAAGCTTTTAGAGATATACCACTTTAAAATCGGATCGGTTGAGAAAACAGATTTTTGGAGAATTAAGCCACGATCATTTAGAAGTATGCCGCTTTGAAATCGGAAGAAATTTGATAAAGTTATGGACTGTAGAAGTCCGATTGTGGGTTAACATTTTTACAAGTCACCAGAAACTTGAAAAAAATGACATGAAAATGGGTCAAAAATTTGATCAAAGGGAAAATGAAAATTTTGAATGCAGATTTTTAGAGAATAAGACCACAAGTCATAAGAGGTATGCCACTTTGAAATCGGATTAAATTTGGTAAAGTTATGGACTCCAGAAGTCCAACTGTGGGCTAACATTTTTAGAAGTCACCAGAAACTTGGAAAAAAATGACATGAAAATGGGTCAAAATTTTGATCAACCTGAAAATGAAAATTTTGAATGCAGATTTTTAGAGAATCAAATCACAAGTCTTTAGAGGTATGCCACTTTGAAATCGGATGAAATTTGGTAATGTTATGGGCTCTAGAAGTCCAACTGTGGGTTAACATTTTTACAAGTCACCAGAAACTTGAAAAAAAATGACATGAAAATGGGTCAAAATTTTGATCAACGTGAAAATGAAAATTTTGAATGCAGATTTTTAGAGAATAAGACCACAAGTCTTTAGAGGTATGCCACTTTGAAATCGGATGAAATTTGGTAAAGTTATGGACTCCAGAAGTCCAACTGTGGGCTAACATTTTTAGAAGTCACCAGAAACTTGGAAAAAAATGACATGAAAATGGGTCAAAATTTTGATCAACGTGAAAATGAAAATTTTGAATGCAGATTTTTAGAGAATCAAATCACAAGTCATAAGAGGTATGCCACTTTGAAATCGGATGAAATTTGATACAGTTATGGACTCTAGAAGTCCAACTGTGGGTTAACATTTTTACAAATCACCAGAAACTTGGAAAAAAATGACATGAAAATGGGTCAAAAATTTGATCAACGGGAAAATGAAAATTTTGAATGCAGATTTTCAGAGAATTAAGCCACAAGTCATAAGAGGTATGCCACTTTGAAATCGGATTTCTATGAGAAAAGTTATGTTCTTAAAAGTACAGGTTTTAGGCCATTTTTCTGCAAAGCCATTTGTCGATCATAAAAAATGTGAAAAATCTAATAAATCTAATCTACAAACCAAGTTTTGAACGCAGGTTTTTTCGGAAATTAAATAAATTGCGAAAGAAACTGTAAGCCGATTACCTTCATGTTTAGGTCAATCTAATTTGAATAAAGTTCAATCAAAGTCAAATTTAATTCCCAAAAGATAAGCTACCCAACCCTCAAAACCTTTTGATAAGGTGTTTTCTGCCATGGAAACAATTTGGAAGGTGTTTTTTTCTTTTTGATTGGGTTGAACTACTTAAAGTGCCAAGAAAATTTTCAAGTTCCATTTGTTTCTCCTTCCTGTTCGTTATATTTTACCATGAGTTTTTCTTCGTTTTTTCTGCATTATTCTGTTGTTCCACTCATATTAGGGGAAATCGAATTGACAACGACAGCCACAAGTGGTTGGGTTTCTTGGGAGTGGCATGAGTCGGGGAAACATCGAGGGACTCCATCTCAAACTCCGAAGCCTGATTAGTGAGAGTGCCCCTCACGTCAGCGTTGTCACTGGGCACCTTGGGGTGCATAAATCCAAATCCCAGCCCAACGGATTGCCGGATCCGTCTGCCACACACCTGATAAATTCATCAAAATCCGGAAACCTCAGCAGTCGCATCGAGAATTGCAGTTTGCTGAGCCAGAGGAGTTGGAAAAGTGTGGTTTACCCTTTCTTTTTTGGTGTATTTCGGGATTAATTCTAAAGTTTGGGATTAATTCATTGGGTTTTTACTTTAAGCAACATACAATTTATATTCATTATATACAAAAAACATTTCTCGTTTTTCAGTAATGTATGTAATATATTTAGCAGCGTCTTAATTTTATTGTTAACCTTGTTTTCTGTAAAAAATAGCTCTTTAAACATTATTACGATTTTATTCTGTTTTATTTGTTGTATAGCAGATAAGATAGTTATATTCTAAGAAAGTTTTCGAATAAAATTTTTAATTCTTTATAAGTTATGTAAAACAATTTGTAACAAAATACTTTGAAACACTTAATCCAATGATTTTCTAGAGTATTACCACTTCCACCACAATGGTGAAACATCTCTGCCATCCAACTTGTCCTGCTTATTTATTTATCGAGCGAACTGCGGCAGGTGAGGCAAAGTTTTGGATTGGACTTCCGCTTTTGGATTGGGTTTCGGTTTGGCCAGGGGCTCACTGTCCACGCGGCTTATCGAATCGGACAACTGACAGTTGTTCAAGCTCGCAGGAGCCACTACCAGGATGGAGGGATGGATGGATGGATGGATGGATGGATGGACGGATGGATTGGAGGTTTCACGGGAGGATGGGAATGATGATGAGGCAGCGAGACGGCGATTTGAAGAGCTCTGCAGACAGAAGCCGCAGCGTACTTAGACAACGTTTGCCAGCTGATAAATGGTTGCCTGTCACTTAGCCGCGTTCTTGATGGAGTACTAAGCCAAACATCCATTCAACCACCCACACCCCACCCAGTCCACCCACCCAAACCACCCATTTAACCCACACGCGGCCCACCAGACAAAGTCCCCCGGAGGCGTGCTAAAAAATAAAACAAAGTTGAAGTTCCCCAAACGAGAAATCGCATTAGCGAGCCTGAGGTTGAGGCTGGATTTCAGATTGAGTTCGTGGCCAGAGCCTGGATTTAAAGTTGAGGTGGAGATTGAGTGGCCGCCGGGCAAGTTCTGGATAAAGTTTAATTTTTCAAAATACCTAAAATGCTTTTCTCAAGTTTTTACATAAAAAGACTTTATTCATACAAAAACCTAACACCACCATAGGAAAACGAGTTCATAGCTCTTACTTTTACCATATTGTTTCGTATTTCACAGATTATGTTGGCATTCGGTGGGCCAATATAATAAACTTTATTTTCCAAAAAAATTTCAAAGTTATTTTATTTTTCCCAGATTTTTCAAAGTAATTTCCAAAACAGGTTCATTGTATTTAAAATAACTTTAAAATATGGAAGACTTATTTAATACACTACACAATTTGCGGGCGTAAGAAATTCCATTTTCTAAAAGTAATTTAGTTAATTGATTTACAAGTGTCCAACTGCTGCCGCCCGAGGCTCTCTTTTTTTTTGTAGCCTTATTAAGCAGCGACTTTAATTGTGTTTAAATATTAATTAAGCTTGGCCCGAGGTCCTGCCCACTTGCTGCATCCTCTGTCGCCGCCAGGTTCAATTTCAATTTAACTTTGTTATCGGCTGTGGCTCCCTGGGGCCTGAACATTTTCGGCTGCCAAATCAAATTCGACGCCCAATTAAAATTCAATTTGTTGCGCGCCATTAATTAGATTCTCCTCCACATGCCCCGCCCCCTTCGGAAAAAAGAAAGCCCCAATGATGAATTGCGGGGATGGGGATGGGTAAGGGTATGGGGATGCAGGAGGAGATTGAACCTTCTTCTAATAGCAACGAACGCCACCTGAGACTTGGCTCCCCGTCCATTATTATTCTATTACCCACCCAGCCATCTTTATGCAATTCCGACCACATCCATTGATGAGTCTAGCCACCACCTGCAGCGATGGGCGGCCCCACTAATTAGTGTGGCCGACGCTGCTGGTGATGCTGCTTTTCCTTCGGACATTTCAATTAGGTGTAATCTATGCGCATAAATTGACGGGGCATGTGCAACACGTGGTGTTCGCCGCAGCACTCAAAAAAACACTTCCAAGTTCAAGATCAGTACAAAAATAGTTTGAAAAGGTTTGATTCTGATATAGTAATAACATCTCCTTTACATTTTAGAATCTAAACTAAGGCTTTATGCTGAGAAATGAGATACTTTGACTTCAATCCAAAAGCTTAAGGAAATGTATAGTTCTTTTTATAAATCAAGTCTTAATTGCAATCTTACCAAATAATTCAATATAAATGTAGTCGGTTTTTAGAATTATTTTCGATTCCCCAGCTTTCTTAATGCCTTTAATAAATACCTTAATCGATATTTTATTTTCTCTGTGTAGCGCCCCTGGACTAATCATTTGGCATGACTCACCTGCTTCTGCAACGTGTTGGAAAGCTCCTCCAGGCACTCCTTCCGCTCGAATCGCTCGAACTTGAAGCTATTGGAGCGGTACAGTTCGTTGTCCTCCCGCCGACGATTGCGGCACAGGCGGCGGGTGATTATGTTGCCACCACTGCCACTAAGCCGAGGACTGCAAGAGAGTAATCAAATTGGTTAGGATTAGTGGAGAGAGTCCTGATTATATAGTTTTATTTCATTAGATTTATTTTATAACATTTATTAATTCATTTGTCCTTTTTGTGTTCATAAATGTATACTTAATATATGTTTACCACTTCCTAACTAGTTTGAGTATATGTGTTCCTCATATTTGAAATAAGTATGTAAGCCATTGCTAATTGAAGTCCACGGATACTGGGTACTGTAGTTTCATTTTTGTCGGGCGCCATCAATTTGATTTCTCTGATGACAGGGGCTTTCCCCAATCCACCCAACACATTAACCCTTCGAAAAAAAAGGATGTACAAAAGAGAATTACACCCAACCAACCGCATGGGCGGTTGAATAGTGGGCGGGTCACATCGGAGCTCGTTAGCTGGCGCTTCATTAAAATTTCACACATTCGGCGGTAAAGAAAGCTCTGCTCCATTTACCTTATTATGCACGTCCTCCGATGTCTGATGTTGGCTTAAAGCCTCAAAAAGTTAAGCTTACCGCCCAGTGGAACGGCGACCCACTTTGCATTCGGGTTCGTTCAACGCCCGCGGCCACTTCAATGGCTTAAAACTCAGTTGCAACCAACTCCACCGAAGCCACAACAAAAACAAATGAAAAACTTTGGGAGGGCGGAAGAAAAGGGTACAAAAAAAATATGATGGAAAATACGGAAAAATGTTTAAAGGAGAAAAGGGAAAGGGACAAAAATAGGAGGCAACCCGGTGAGAACTCTGCGGCAAACAAAAGCACAAGCCACTGGAGCAGACTCAAGTGGCAGCCACTTGGGCACTCCAACTCACTGGAGCTCCAGTTGCAACTCCACTTGCAAACTGCACTCACAAAAAGTAGTGCGCATAAGGTGCTCTCGATTTTTGCAAAGCGAAAAGCCTTAAATGCTTTAATATCAAAGATTAATATTAAAGATTAATAAACCAAAAATCTCTATACATTTATTAATTGTTGAAGTAAAAAAACATATATCAAAAATGATTCTAAAAGTATTTTCATCCTTGGATTTCTGGATTCAAAATATATTGTAGACACTTTTAAATGATAAACTTCTATATGTTTATTTGGCACATTCATAAATTATCATCCAACAAATCAGAATCTTTAGGTTTTTCTGCTGTGATTAACCACTTTAACATTGTTCTAATGTTTTAAAATATATATATACCCATGGAGCATCAATTATTTCACGAACTTCCCAAATTGTTTTTAACTATTTAATCGAGAAAGGATTTTTTTGTTCAGTGCAGCAGTGCTACTCACCCGCAGGGCTTGCAGTGCGTCATGTGCAGGTCCCAGTTGAGATGGAAGTTGAACATGCGCAACTTGGCCACCGCCCGCTGTCGCAGCGAGATGTCCGGCTGTCCTCCAGATCCAGATCCGGCTCCACCTCCTCCTCCACCGCCACCGCCACCACCCCCCGAAGCACCGCCCGAAGTGGATGCCTGTCCGGGCCCAGATCCTCCAGATGGTGCCAGCGGCGCAGCTCGCTGGGGATTCGGATACATCATCACTGTGCCACTGGGCGCCGAAGTGGCGAACAGACGTCGCGATGAGCCACCGCCTCCGCCGGAAACGCCCCCGCCATGATGGTGGCTAGGGCGATAGTGCTGGTGCTCTTTCAGGGTGTAAAAGCCGCCCGAGGAACTGTAATGGAAAGCGAGTCAAGGCCTCGTTAGAGTCTCCGCCGAGAACAATGGAAATAAAGCAAAACACAATGTTCGGAGGTGCTGGAGATATCTCTAAAGAAATAAGTGTCCAAATATTTGGTTTTGACATTCAGATAATTTTAATTTGGTAAAATGTGTCAATAATAAAGTTCACTATAAGTAAAATAAGACAGTCTGTCAGTGGTGTTTGGAAAAAGATATTCTTATTCATACCTCGAAAATGTCAAATAAAAATATTTACAAACTGACACCTCTGCTTTTGCTTCAAAAATGTTTAAATGTTATAACTTATGACGTAAAAAGCTATGATATTGTAGTTTTAAACATCTAAAAATAAATATTTGTGTGAAAATTCATAAAATACGTATTTTTTGGGATTTTAGGATTTAAAAACAATTAAAAATGATCAAACTTTAAAAAATGTACATTTACCGGAGGTGCCAGAACGCACTTGAGTTTTGAAGTCACTCGTAAAAGTAACTAAAAGTATGCAATGAAAAACGAAGTCTTTCGGAATTAAATGTTATATACATTTATTGCACTCTTTTAGACACATTTGTATTAAAACCTTAGTGATTTCTGAGGCACCCTAGCACATCGCAGACTTTTTTTTAGATTTTAAACCCTTAGGCATTAGAACTTACGACATATTATCGCCGCCGGGATCGCCGACGCAACTGGTGACTCCCATTCCGCCGCCACGTCGCGGTCTGCTCTTCCGCCGGCGGCGCCTCCTGCGCTCCGAGGATGCGGTGCGCGTTTGCAGGACATGTTGGCTGAGCGACTTGTTGCACCCGCCCCCGCTGCTGGCCAGCCGCCTCCCGGTGGCATTGCTGCCGCCGGTGGCCGTGATGGATCCACCGCCGGCGGCCAATCCCTGCACGGCAACCACCAGCTGGCCATCGCCAAAGCCACCAGCCGAGCTAATGGTGTCGGTGGATTGGGGCGTGGCTGCAGTGGCTCCAACGGGGGCACCACCACCGGTGGCTGCCTCACCACCCGGTAACTGCTGTGGTTGTTGCGATTTGTTGGTGTTGCGCAAACTGTGGTTCACTTTTCGCCACATGCGCTCCATCTTGAAGAATCTCCTCGATTCGTTTTGGTGGTTTGATGCTGGTGTTGGATTTTTTTACCAAGTGGTTGTTGAATTTCTTTGTTAGCTTATTAACTTTGCCATTCCTTTATTTTTTTATTTATTTTAAAATTAATTTTATTTATTGTTAATTTAATTAACAATTTTATTAAGTTAATGACACAAGCGCTCCATTTTGGCGAATCCTTTGCCGTTGACTTATGTAGGATATTGTTGTTAAGCGGTTGTTGATTATATTCGATCTCTTATTTCAGTTTCCATTACATTTTATTTATATGTAAAAAATACTTTTTTTTATGGTCAAAGATTAAGGATTTGATCAATCTGTCTTTAATAGTTTGTTTTTCTAAATTGTTGTTAAAATTACTTGTTGATATTTCCAAAAATCTTTTGCCAAAAGATTGTTGATTAATTTGTATATATTAACTAATTGTACAATTAATTGTGTTTATGTAGATTTGAAAAATATCAATAATATAAAATGGCTTATAAGTATTTTCGTTTGCTATAAACGCTAGCGTGAATGGTATAAATTTATGGAAGCCGTAAGTAGATCTAACATTTATTAAAATTTGTGCTTTTTGGTTATTCGAATAGTTGTTTTGTAATGCTTGATTGGTTTGTTATGAGAGTTTTAGTTTTAGTGCGAGTTGGAATGTTTGTCACTTTTAGTTGTTGTTTACGTTTAACCTGAACTATACCTATAGATTTAAAGATGATAATCTTCGTTAGCACATCGTTTAGAGTTTTTTGTCATACATTTTTGGAATAGCAACATGATTTTTTTTGGAAAGTTGTTACGTTTCAGCATTTGCGTGGAAGTTTTTAGTATTCGTCTATATATCAGTAAGTTGTAATCCTATTCGTTGTTGAAGTTGTTGTTGTTTTTTAGTCATCATTATATTGTTATTATTGTAGTTTAATGCTGTATGTTAGTCGTCTTACTTTTCGATTGTGGTTGCCGTTAGTTGTTACTAAAAAGTTTTTCTGTTTGATTTATATTCGGGGCTGTAGTTGTTGTTTTTGGTTGTGCTTTTAGTTTGTTATCAAATGGTATTTATCCTTTTTTGGGTTTCCTTTTACTATGGGAAATTCAGCTAGCTACGAAGTTTGGTTGCTCTGCTATATTTATTTTTTTTTGCCACATTCCTTCGTCTTCTGATTTTTTTCTTCCGGTTTGCCGGCCTTCAAGTTTTCTTCCTCTTTACTGTTGTTGTTAACTTATTGTTTGTAGGCGGCAGTGTTTAGTTGTTGTTGGTGTTGTTCGATTGGCTTTCATCTGGTTTACCTTGGATCTCACATCTCCCACAAATATGTACACAAAAGGACACTCGTTCGATTATACAAAAAAAGCTACTCAGCAGGAACTATGCATTGTTGTTGTTGTTCTTATTTCGATTGTTGTTGCTGTAGTTGTTGTCTGCGGATAGCGGAAGTGGAAAACAAAGAATATGAAATTGAGTGTAGAACTCTTCCACATGTGTGTATGTGTGTATTTGAGTTCCTGATTGTGTGTAATTGTGTGGGTGAGTGGCCTGCACTTTTAGGTTAAGCACGCGCTTCACTCATTTTTTTTTATTTGTTTTATTTGATGCCTAAGCCGCTCTATTTCTATGCCTTTGTTGCTGTTGTTGTTTTTTCACATTGCACTTGTGAATGAATGACGAATTTTTTCCACCGCCACTCGCTCACTCACTCTCTCTCTCTCTGTGTTGCCCACTCTCTCCCCCTTTTGCTTACACTCACAAGAGTTTTTTTCCGTTATCAGCACACTTGGAAGGACTTTTTATGATAGCACATTTTTTCCATTTTACCAACTAATTTTGCACTCAATTTGTGTAATTTTGCGTTAGTTATTTGCCAAGCAGCGTGGAAAATACACTTATTAAGTTCTGCGAATTCCACAACTACAACGCAGTTGTTGTCGCGTTGTCAGGTTGTTGCTATTGCTTTTGTTGTTGTTAGCGCCTGGCTGGCTGCTGGCACGTTGAGTCAACATCATTTTAGTTCACCCGAAAAAAAGACAAAAAAAACAGGGACACTGTCTCTCTGCACGGTGGGACATATGTAGTTTCACATTCAAGTTTGAAATTTATGTTACCAAAACAAATAATAAACAAGCTTTTTTAAACCTGTATAAAGTGCAATTTAAATATTTTGCTAATAAGGCTAAAGTAAATCTAAGGAATTAATATAAATATATATTTAAGTCAATTTTAATATAACTATACACACCATTTTTTTTTAAATCTTAAAACAATTGAAGAAAATATTGTAAATTACAATTGGATGTTGTAAAATATAGTAAAAAATATTTTAATTAAAAAAATAAAAAAATTGTTTCTAAATTAATGTACATTAAATCCCTTTATAATGCAGATAAACTTCATCAACACGTACATAAATCAGTTAGAAGAGAACCAGTAATATTAGATCTGTTCAGGGTATCGAATATATTTACTCATACTAAATGTTTTAATTTCGGGTAACCAAAAGACGGAACTTCCAATGCCCACTGTGCAAGTCAAAGAGCGAGAAAACAGGATAGCGGAAGAGCTGGAGAGAGTGCGCTCTTGCCGCTAAGAATGTGGATGTAGTTGTGCGTGGGCGCAAGCCAAGTTACGGTATCCAGTGCTTTTGCGACTGTATTCGTAGCCGTGTCCTGTGTATAACACAAACACATTGCGCTGCAAAGGAATCCAGAGAGAGAGCGAGAGATTGCGAAATTGAGAGAGGAAAGTGCCTGCTTAACCGTTTTGATACATTTTGTTGCCTATATTTTTGGGCCATCACACAAACACACTCAAACACTTAAAGAAAATTGAAATACCGTTTTAAAATTGGCGAACACACTGGTTAATTGGCTAACGGTTAACAATTAAGGGTCAATCGGAATCCAAGGGAATCCACATTTTTTATCACACGAGAGCAGAGCAGAGGCCGCTGCCCGTTTATTGGCAACGCGCACGCACAAATAACGGAGCCACTATGTCGAAAGCAGCGGTGAAAGCAGCAGCGGCTGTGAAAGCAGCGACGCCGGCAGCAGCAGCAGGAGCAGCTGAGAGCCGAGGACACGAAGCGACAGCAAAAGAAGGATTCACTCCCGAAGCCCCAATGAAGGCTCAACCTCTCGGCTCTCGGTGTGTGGGTGCAGGTCGTTAAAATGTAAACATTGGAGACATCTTGCCGGGCTAAAAGAGCGAGAAAAAGCCGGAGAGAGAGCTCTCTCGCAGGCTGATTGCGCAGCAAAGCGACACCTATTGTGCGTTTCCGGAAACCTAAGAACACGCTTATCGCATCCTTTATCGATAAATCGTTTGGAAAAACAAGACAAAGAGGGTCCTTTAGTAGTATCTACTGAGGGAAAAACCAAATTTACAATAATTTAGATCAAGAAAAGCAGCTAAATGGTTGAACAATGTAAATGCGAGGCCTAGCAAATCGCATTACCATGGTAAGAAAAGGGGAGAAAACAATGAAAGGCAAGCTAAATTGATAGATCAAAATCAAACTTGAATTCTGTAGCTTGGACAACCAACCAATAGAGGGCGTTTCGGTAGTATCAACTTAGAAGAACAACAAATGACAATCAAAAAAGAATATCAGCTTAAAAACTAAATCAACAAACTTACAATAAAAAGCCCAAAAATTGATTTTAATACAAATTTCATACCAAAACCAAACTACAATTCACAAACAAAAATAGTGTTATAAGAAATTCAAAACAAAAAGCGCGAAGAGCAAAAGCAAACCAAATTTCTGCGCGCTTTTGGTGTTGAGGAAGCATTGCTGGATTTTACATAAATTTGAATAGTTTTTGGTGAACCAAAAAGCATAATAGGGCGTGGACAATAGGTCATAAATTAAGTTTAGCCAAAATAGAAAAAAGCTAAGAAAAATAACACACATTGAACCATAATAAACCCACAACATTTAAGAAGCAATCAATTCATCAACGTTGCGGAAATTCGAATATGCCGGGTGAGATGATCACCTGTCGCAGGAGGAACAAGTTCTCATTGTTCTGGCCATTTGAAAGGCGTCTCCAATAAGTTATGACTCCACACGCGTTGTTCGATCATCTCGGGTAAATATCAATGATAATGGCACGCCAATATCTAGACAATTAAACGGACCCAGCACAAATTTGCATCCGTATACGTTCTTTTTTGGTCAGTTTTATTGGTCTACTTCCAAGATTCTGGGCGGTTCGAGTATATAAGACTCCGTAACGGCCAACAGATCAACAAAAATCATCCAGCCTTCAAGCTAAACTAACAAAAAAAAGAACCCAGCTTAGAAAAATGAAGGTGAGTGAAGCTAAAAAGGATACAGGATAAAGGATACCTAAGACTGAAACGTGCAAACAAACAGATATGATGAAATAACACCTAAGTTTTTTTTTAATTTTTTTTTTCGTGTCAAAAATGTGTGAAAAAAAGTGAAAAAATGATTTTTGGCGATAAAAGCCAAAGTGATTCCTAAATTGTTAAAAAATGAAAAAGAGTATTTGAACACTCACCCGAAAACCGTAACGCATAAGCTAAGAAAAAGGTTTTAAATTGAGAAATCGTATGGAATTCTGCAATTGAAATCTTATCTTAGCCTACAATGAAGACGAGAATCAAGACTAATTCGAAAATTAAGATACCTAAATTCGGATATTATTAATAATAGGCGGAATAAATGTCAACATTATGATTTTTCTAAAACTATATGATTAAAACTGTACAAATGGAGTCAGATAGCCTATTCTTGGTTATTATTATTAATAATTCACATCCAAATGGCAGATCTTCATCGTTAAATCCCAAAGAAAAAGATATAATATTATTGATGATACCTCCTCCTTTCGCAGTTCTTCATCGCCAGCCTCCTGATCGCCGCCTTCGTGGCCCTCGCCCAGAGCAGTGTGATCCACGGATCTGCCTTGACCTACGGCCCCGTGGCCTCCATTCCGGTGGTGCGCACTGTGCCCGTGGTGCGCAGTGTTCCAGTGGTGCGCAGTGTTCCAGTGGTGCGTCATGTGCCGGTGGTGCGTCATGTGCCCGTCGTCGAGTCCGTCCAGGTGGTGCAGCCATCCGTGCTCCGTGTTGGACACGCCGCCGTCTACGATGCTCCTCTTGTCCAATCCTACGGCGGCTGGTTGAAGCAGAAGTAGACGATCCATGCAATATTAAACTCTGAATAAAACAAAAATAAATAACTAAATCTATGACTTAATAATTCAATTATTTCTGATACTGCTGAAGATACTACAAATAGTAGTATTTGCACTGTAATAACAATTTATAGATCTGGAAAACTATAAGATAATAGCAGATAATCATATTCTCAATGTGATACAAGTTAAAGAACTTGATAATTAACCTTAAACTAAAAAAATTGTACTGTTCCGCTTTTCTTTTTCTTTTTTTTACCTTGGTAAGTTAAACATATAATACACCGAATAAATAACTAATTTGACGTGGCTATGAGGAGATTGATAGGTTGCTCAACAAAGAAAATGGGATGGTTAAGGTTAAAGTGGGATGATTTATAAAGTAATAAAAAGTAAACGAAAACATTTTGTAGCAAAGTTAGGCATTTTATAAATAATAACCAGCTATTTATAAATATGAAAGCTATTATCCAAATATAAAATGAAAATCGCAATGAAAACTTGAGTGAAACTTGTTTCGAGATTAAAGAGCCACTAATATATTCACCGATTGCTGCATTCCAAGCATAGAGCAATTAACAAGCCATAATAAACCGAGACACAAGATCATAATCACGATTAGTGGAGAGTGAGTTTAGCAATCTCTGAATGTTTCTGTTTCGAGCCCTTGATTTCCCACACTTGTTTTAGGGCATGTAATCTGCTCTGCCCACAGAAATCTGAGGTGTATTTGGGTACAGTTTTAATATACCCAATTAGGGTACACTTTACAAGCTATATTAGCTAACTAATGTTGGTGTACCTTAATATAGACGTTAGTAAATCATGGGTATATATTTAATAAACCATAAAATCAATAATAGTTACTATGCAATGATTATGTTTTAATAGATCTAATAAAGGTACGCTATATAAACTAACTAAGGTTGCTTTAATTTAAAAGAGATTTAAATATATTTGAGTAACAAATACTATGAAAATATTTATTGAATATACCCCAAAATCAAGAGTAACTTAGCAATGATTATATTATTAATTTTTACTATTAATCACTTTTATACAAATCTAGACTTCATAATATATTATAATATAATAAGTATAACTGCAAGTACCTTAAACTATGGATATCTTATTGAATATATTCCATATATTTATGCATCGATAACAAGTGAATTGATTATTTAACTTAATAAACCTTTCTTTTTTGAATTTGTGTAAAACAATATTAAAGTGTTCTTAATGATGAGCATAAAAACTAGAATTACTTTCCATGAGTTAGGTAAAGGGACAAGTTCTTTAAATAAGTGATAACTTTAAGTGATCTATTGATATATGTTGGTAATACTTAGTAAGTACTTCAAATGTGCCTAGTTCGGTCGTCATCACTGATCCGCCCCGTTGGCCAATTTACAACGTCTTATGCTTATTGGGCCGACATAATGCGTTTTACATGGCCCAACGATGCGACTGGGACTTGCATAATCCACTGACCACCACATAGCCCTCATCAATGACGAGCCAGTTGACAACAGATTCCGATTCACCTTGAAATCGCCGGATGGGTTGGGTTCGGTTTTCGCTTTGGTTTATGACAGACTGCCGGCCGCCTTATGAAGCAACCACTCCGCGGCGCTCGTGTATGCAAATGACATCAAAATACATTTAAAAAAAACAAAAAAAAAAACCGAAAATGAAAACGAAAACCTAAACCTAAACCTAAAACATAAGAGGCCAAGAAATATGAAAGCCGCATTTGGCTTATCACTAGCAGAGCGTCTCATTTTCATGCTAATTGTGGGAGCCCGAGCCCCTTTCGGAATTTCGGAAATGCAGCGGTGGTGAGGCCGGCGAAGACTTGACGAAACTGAAAACCGGATGATGGCTGGCAAATGAAAAGAAACCGATATATAATATTATATTCCGAAATTCCAAGCCGAACCGAAATGGCAATAGAAGAACTTCGTTGGGTGCGCCCAGCATCGGGTGAAAATGAAAACGAAAGCCCATCATGATGATGATGATGATGATGATGATGGTTATGGTTATGGGTGGTTTGGAAATGTTAATGAAACGTCTTTTGTTCGCCAATGATGGCTTGCATCGTATAAAAGACTAGGGCTCCGATCGATCGGACATCAGTCGCTGCTCATCGGCACTCAAGGCGTTTTTTTTTGGAATTGGTATCATCGCATCAAGTGAAAAAGTAGTCAGCATGAAGGTGAGCTGCTCAAAATATCCTGTGCCCTTACAAAAAAGAAAACTAAAAAAGTGAAAAGAAACCCTAAAGAAAATATCAAAGCTTGTGATCTTTTTTTTTTATTTTTTTTTTGGCTTAAAAAAGTGATACTACATTTCCCATTTTTAAACACAAAAATTAAACAGTGATACTACATTTTCATATTTTTTTGTAACAAAATTTAAGGAGTGACTAAAATGATTAAGCTCAATAAATATATTTCAACAATTTAAAGTTCTGTCAAAACAAAGGATTTAAGGAATAAACACAAAACCATTTGGAAAACATAACATTTTAAAACAGTCGATCCTAAATAATTTATTTGGTTTTTAGTTAAAATAATTAACTTCTGACTTGTTTAAACCGTAGGATATTTGCCTAAACAGTAATATCAAAGGCCTTAAATTATAATTAATCTGAAAATGTTTATATTCGATGGTAGCTTTAAAGGATCCAAAAAACCTTTTAAAAAGTAGTGAACAAATCCCTTTTGGTACATATTTCAAATGGCTAGTTCTTTTCTTGCCTTATATAAATAATTAAATATTTTGTATTTCTATCTGCATTATATATTGTGTATTATTTTACTAATATTTTACTATTATCCTTGCAGGTCTTCGTTTGCATGTGTGCTCTGTTCGCTGTGGCCAACGCCGGATTCCTGGGACTCCTTGGAGGAGGCGGTGGTGGTGGAGGTGGTGGCGGTGGTGCCAACCTGAAGGCCGGCATCAGCCTGGGCGGAAATGGAGGAGGTGGTGGCAATGGAGGCGGCGGCGGCGGCGGCGGTGGTGGCTACCACGGCGGTCATGGACCAAGTGGCCCAGTCCAGGTGGTCAAGGTGATCCACCAGCAGGGCGGTGGCGGCTACTCCTCCGGCGGCGGTGGCTACTCCTCTGGCGGTGGCTACTCCTCCGGCGGCTATGGAGGTGGCTACGCCTACGAAGCTGCTCCCCAGGTCTTCAAGGTGAAGGTCATCTCTGGTGGAGGCGGCGGACATGGACCCGCCCCCGGTCCCGTTTACCTGCCCCCCGTTGGTCCCGCCCCCTCCTCCGTGAAGGTCATCAAGATCCTGCAGGAATCCGCCCCCATTGTGAGTGCCCCACTGGTCGAGAGTGCCCCGCAGATTGTGAAGGTGGTGAATGTGGCATCCGGACCCGTGGCTGGACCCTCCTTCATTGGCGGCTCCTCATCCGGCGGTGGTGGCGTCTCCCAGGTCATCAAGGTGGTCCATGAGAGCGGAATCTCGTCGGGTGGTTACTCTGGCGGTGGATACGCTGGTGGATACACTGGTGGCTACTCTGCTGGAGGATACGGCGGCGGTTACTCCTCGGGTGGCGCCACCAAGGTGGTGCGTGTGATCCATGAGCACTCCGCTCCGGCTGCCGGACCCGCCTATGCCCCCATCGATGTGCCCGGACCAGTGGCTGCTCCAGTGGCTTCCTACCTGCCTCCCCAGGAGATCGCTGCCCCAGCTCCAGCTCCGGTTTATGCTGCTCCAGCTCCAGCTCCGGTTTACGCTGCTCCTGCTCCAGTTTACTCTGCTCCAGCTCCCGCTCCAGTTTACTCTGCTCCTGCACCTGCTCCAGTTTACTCTGCTCCAGCTCCCGCTCCAGTGTACTCCGCACCTGCTCCTGCTCCAGTGTACTCCGCACCAGCTCCCGCTCCAGTTTACTCCGCACCTGCTCCCGCTCCAGTGTACTCCGCTCCTGCACCTGCTCCAGTTTACTCCGCACCTGCTCCCGCTCCAGTGTACTCCGCTCCTGCTCCCGCTCCAGTTTATGCCGAGCCAGCGTACTCCGCACCTGCTCCTGCCCCCGTCTATTCCGCCCCAGCTCCCGCTCCCGTCCTGAGCCTGCCTCATCCCGCTCCGGCGCCCGTTTTCGCACCAGAGGAGCAGGGCCTGCCCATCGGCCACGCCCCCGCCCAGACTTACGGCCCACCGGGATACTAGATGCACCCGTCCATTCGGAGGACCTTCCTGCTAACTACATCGAGAGCATTCTACCATTCCTACACAACGCCATGAGTTAATTTAAGACATTTTTTTTATCACACATTTTTTTGTTAGACAATATATGAAGAAAACCAAAAAAAAAAGATTTCGTTTTTATTGAACAATTTTAGACTGATCAGTGGTTATAAATAACTTCAACCTGGTTTACAAAATTTAAAAAAAAAAAAATAGGATGAAAATGAACTAAAAAAATAACTATTTACCATCCTATATAGTTATATAAAAGTGCATAAAGCACACATTGAAAACTATATAGCCGCCCAGTATTAAACAAATATATAACTAGTCGGATTTGATAAAATTTGGAAGGACCTAATTTAATCACAATGAAGTTGATTTACAGAGCTCTGCTTTATTTTCAGCAATTAAAAAAAAAAACATTTTTTTTACAACTACTTTTTAAGAACATTTTTAAAATTGCCGTACTGATTTTATTTCTTGCTTTATAAGGCAATTTTCATTACATAAATATTATTTTTATGAAAGCTGCGTTCCAATTTGTTTTTAAATCACAGCCAAGAGATATTTGCCTCAATAATAGAAAATATCTAAATTAAAAATGTGGGAAATTGATTTTAGTTTTTAAATGCTTATAAATGAAATGAAAGTATAGGGCAGAAATCTCACTAAAATAATTTAAAATGTTACCGTCTTTATCCACTGTTTGATTTGCATAAGTTGGGGAGAGAAAAAAATATATACGCGTCTCTTTCCTTTCGAGCATTCCAGCTAAAATGCAAATAACTCATATTCGAGTTAAAGATTGCCAAGACATTATCATATCGACGGTCCCAGAGCGAGAAATTTTACACATTTCTCCACAACGGCTCACAAATATTACAAATTATAAACGCACAATTTGGCAGCAAAACAGAAAACATGAAAAAAAAAAAATGAAAAAAAACTGCGAAAAGCCGTTTGATGTTTGCTGGTGGATCACCGGTCATTAATACGATATTATGATTCGCTTTTTATTGTTTCATAACGCTCTTGCTTTTTAAGGGGATCGTTACGTTTTATTTATTTCAGACACAAAGCATCGATTGTGGTTTATTGGTGGCGGTAGTGTGGTGATTACGTCTATTCGGCAGCCTTAACTAACGCTTCGGCGACCTCCACGGCGATGGCAGCCTGGGCCTTGGCCTGCAAAACAGGATCGGGATAAGGTTTCAGTTAGATATCGTTTTAAAGTAACCAATCACAATATTCCCTACATGGCCCTAATGAAAACATACGAACAGGGATTTTTGCTGCAGTGGTATCTGTCGTTTAAACTAATTTTCAACTAAACTATGAGAGCCCTATATTTACTAAATAGCATTCTGTTAGGTCAGTTGAAAATCAAATTACATTTTTAGCAAAAAAGTAGAATTTTTAACATGTCTGGTGTAGTAGGAATTGTTGAATTGATCACTTTTTTAAAATTAGAAATCTTATAACACTTGAAAACATAGTTAGAACAGCCAAAATATATAGTTCCTAAACAAATCTTTGGCTTGTAAAATAAAATTTCGTCTGATTATGGAAGAAATACGATTCTCATAAGCTTTAAATTAAAGAACAAGTTCCAAATATTTGAAAGTTCTTTAACTGGAATGTCACCGAAATTACAGGTAAACCTATAACTTAGGTGTAACCCTAATTAAACTTAAGAGCTTTGGTTGATACAAGTTTCAGTACTAGATTTTACTGTGTTATCTTCTAGCTATAGAAATATTAAAACTGGTTGCACTCAAAACAAATAGCTATCTGATGGCATAATTTACATATAAATCTAATAAATTCAAATTAAATATAGCTCTTAGATGCTCAAAGTGAAGGAAATGGTTAAAATAAGTGTGAAGACAATCAAATACTGATTGCAACAGACCCAGGACTTTAAAATCATCTAGCTACATTGATTCCACTTTACAAAAGCCTTAAAAAGGTTCACAAATTGTATCCAACAATGTACTTGAACTTGATCTTCTAGAGATTCATTTTAAGGATTCTACTTTACATAAACTGTGAGAAGAGTGTCTTGATCACAAATTGTGCATCGAAATTGGCAAGCAAATGGTCAAGTAATAGTTTTTGCTATGGATTCTGGACATGGTGATCCCCTAACTTCTAGTTTATATAACATTTTGGACAGATTCGCACCTTGTCGTCGCCAGCGGAGCTGAGCTGTGACTGGTATTTCGCGAGCAGCTGGCGCGCCTCGCCGACATCGATGTCCTCGACGTTGTGGGCCTCCTCGGCCAGAACCTGGACGGAGGAGTCATCGTTGACGGTGACGGAACCGCTGGACACGAAGAACTTGATGAGTTTGCCATCGTTTTCCACCACCTGTACGACTCCGGGCTTCAGAACAGCTGTGGAAACGCAAGATACGCAGGTGATATAATCAAATTGAGGGGAGATTACCAATCGACAGGACTCACCCAGAGTGGGCACGTGCTTGGCCAGGATGCCGAAGGATCCGGAGAAGGAGGGCACATCGATTTGGCGCACCACGGCGGCATCGTAGAAGGTTTTGTTGGCGGCGGCGAAGGTCAGCTTCATCTCATCCGAATAGCTGCGGTTTTGGGCCAACCGGGAGCCGCGGGCGGCCAGCAAACGAGCATTCTTTACGAAGGACATTCTGGACTGCAAAGAGATGATCAAAGCCTCGATTAAAACTCAGTTTCCCCCCGATCAGCCAGCATAACAACAAAATAACCAAATTATGTAACTTTGTAGGTTAGGCGGCCACTGGTATTTGGTTTTCCTCTAGCCAAATGTTATTGATTTTGGCGGTAAATTCGTGTTCAGGTTCACCAATAGGCACCCCTCAATTTATCTGTTATTTTCACCTTTTTCTAGTTCGTTTTGATAGCGAAAAACACGAGAAAAATTCAACTAAACTGCCGCTGTTTTTGCGAAAAGTTTCAACCAGAGTGACCAGCCGACGAATACAGGGATATGCGGATAAAAACGCCTTTTTACAAAATCATGCTTTTAAAAATACCAAATTTTTATTTAGCTAAAGCCTAGTATCCAGATCGACAAACGATTACGCTAGCGTAAAAACTTTAATCTTTCCAGTGTGACCAAAAGTTTGAGAGTTCATCAGATTTAAGCCTGCTACGGTCGTACTGTCAATCAGCTGGGTTTGTTGACAAGCAGTTAAAATTCAAATATCGTATTTGCGGGAAAGAGCCTTTAAAAGATATTATCAAATACCTTGGCAAGACAAGTCTGCCGCTGTACAAAGAATTTAAAAAACAATACAATACAAATTTAACAGTTCTTTTTTTTATTTACTGATAATTATTTGCTAATTTAAAGTTCATAACTGCACTTTTATTGTGTTTTTTCGTACATTCTGGACCTAAAAAACATTTTGCTCTGACAAGAGGCACCCCAGATAGTATTAATGTTATTTTGTCCTCTCATGTAAACACCTGCAATCGACTTTTGTGAGTTTTTTGAGTTTTTCCTTCCATTTCTTATAATGTTCAGTGAGAAGCCCACGCCAAAAGATTAAATTTTTTAATCTTTTCGCTAGGGTTCACCCAAAGTTTATTTCCGCAGACGTGGCAACGCTATGGAATTTTCTGGTATTTTTTTCGTCGATCAGGAGACCGACGTGAAAAAAAGGCCCGACGAAAAGTGAACGCCAGCTGTTTGCCTCTCGCTCTCTCTCATGACTGGCGTTCGGTTTACGTCGATGTGGATACTAGGCTTAAATAAAGAATATATTTAATATTTTTGAAATAAATAAATATGTAAACAAAGCAATTTAAATGAGAAGCAAGTAAAAAACACAGTTCATAAAAATTATCTTATAAATATATATTAAACATAAAATAGCATGGTCACTCGAATGGCTACTCTGTAGGAGCTTGTCGAAATTCAACAGTCTGGCACCATTTTTATTCTAACGCAGAACTAACACTTTTTATCTTATTTTAAAATATGCTATTTTTAGGAACTATACAATTCGTCTTATTTTAAAATAATTATTTATATATTTGAAATAAAACAATAAGTAATATATACTAAGATTGGTACTCATATTTCGAGATTCTTTATAAACTTTATGGTTGCTTGCGCTTAAATGGAAATGAAATGCATTAATGTATTAATATATTATGAAAATCATTTATAATATATGTTTATGAGAATATAGGTGGTTTTACAAAAATGTTGTAGACTCTGTATGTATTTACATTTACCGCGCAATTTTTGAAACTTCCATTTCCGATTGCTTTTATCGAGGCTCTTCGAACGCCGCCTGGTCACATTGTCGCTGGCCCAGCACAACACAACAACAAATTCCAATTGAAAATAGAAACGAAACAATGCAGATAGCTGCATTATACAAGTGAAGAAGAAGAGAGTGCCATTTTCGGCTACTATTTTTTTGCCCGTCTCTGTGTCTGTGTGTGTGTGCGTCTCTGTAGAACGAAAAACAGCGAAAGGCAACAAGCTGACAAACAAACAAACAACACACAGGACGTAAGTGTTTGCAACATTTACACAAATCTGTCACCCACTCGTTCCCTCCCTGTCGCACCTGCAGGCAAACGCAGTTGCAAAAACAACCGTTTTTTCCCATGTTGTGTGTGCGTTAGTGTGTGTATAGATAGCTGTTATTTTTTTCAGCTTATTTTCTATTTTGTTTTGTTATTTTATTCTGTATTGCTTGTATGTGTGTGTTGGTGTCTAAACAAATTGCGCCTTTTGGTTAGAAAAACTTCAAAAGAAAAGAATAAAAAGCTTGTTTTAAAGTTCTTTCTTCACACGCACACAGCTGTTTTTGTTGTGGAAAAAGGAGAGGAAGAGAAGAAGAAGAGAAGGATTTTCTGCTTTTTGTTTGTTGCACACAAGCAGCTGTAGCGCGCATGTGTGTGTGTATATGTGTATTTGTATTTTTGTTTACCTCTTTCCCTCTCCTTCTCGCTCTCTCTTCCACGATTGGTCTCTCTCTTTCTCGCGCTCTGCAACGCAATAAATTTCATGTTATTTTTTTGATAAGAAAACCAACCGCAATCGGTCTGTGTTTATATATACAGCTGATCCGTAGCTATTGACCCCAAACGGCGGTGCGAGCGATATGGCGATAGCTGAAGTCACAAGTAAGCAGCGGCAAAAACAAAAAAAAACAGCAACAAAACAAAAACACTTCGGTCGTTGCTCCTCTTCTTATTCGTCTTCATCTTCAGCTCCTTCTTTTGTTTTTGTTGCGTGTTTTTTTTTGTTAGGAAATTTCGAAAAGCTTATACCCTGTTTTGAGACTATAAAATGTTTCGTTTAGTTTCAAGCAAATTTTGAATAATGGAAAGTTAAAAATACAGTTCATGTTTGAATTGATTTTAATAAAAATTGCTAAAACAAAACAGCTGTGAACGAAAACATGGATATTCTGATAACATGCCATTAACGAAACCCAAACACCCATCGAATATCCTGTATTTTGGCCAAATGAAAATAAGAACAAAAAGCAAGCAGAGAGAAAACGACGCAAAAGAAAAAGAAGCCGCAGACTAAGAACAAACAGTAAACAATAAACAATAATCGGTCGCAAATGAAGTTCAGAGATTGCGGAAAATAATAATTGCATTGCCGTAATTAATGCGTATTTGTCAACCTATGTACATACATGCAAAAAAAAAAAGAAAAACAGCTGATTTTTAAGATTTTCTTAGCTGGTTTTTTTTTGTTTGTTTGTTATTTTTGTTGGTTTCGATCTGTTGCAAGCGCAGCTCCGTTAACGTTGTGTTGCTTTCAACACGCGACGCTGCAGTCGGCGTCACTGCCGACGCTGACACACAATCGTGATACCGTTACACGGCTGCCGCTCGTTGCTGTTATTGTTGTTGTCTTTGTCACCAGCATAGCGGTGGTCACAAAAGTATTATTACCTTAACTCCACTCCAATTCTTACTTAAAATTAGTCGGCTCGTTTTCGCCCAACCTTTGCGTTTCTTTTTTTTAGTTTGAGTTCCCTGCACTTTAGTTTCAATTTTTTTATTATTCGTGTTTATAGTATTTTGTCCTCCGCTGTGCCACGCACATTAAGTGGTAAGAAAATGGCAAAAGTCACTTTGTTGTTGCTACCCACATTTAAAACCAGGATTGGAAAGAGACGGCGATAAAAAGATAGACTGTAATAACAAGAATACGGTTAGCATACATATCTAATGGCAACTGCACTCACCTTGCGCCCACCTCCCCATCTCCGTTGCCAACCCCTTATTCTTGTCTTGATTGCAACTGTAAATTGCACGTAATTTGTTTGTTCATTGAGCACGCATTATGCGTTGCTCCAATTGTTATTTTCTTGAGTACTTTTTATTATTTTATATTTGTTTGTTTTTTTGTTGTTGTCCTTTATCGCTACTCGCTGCCACCTGCTGCGTCGCAGTCGACGTCGCAGCTTGCGACGACAGCGCTGCCCTGCCTCCGATTTTTTGTTTGTAATTTTTTGTACCAAAGCAGCGTCATTTGCCATCCGCATTTCGCGCTGCGCGCTTTGCTTTTCGATTCGCTCGTCCGCTTTGTGTTGCGAACCAGAAACGCAAAAGAGATAAACAAAATAGGAAAAAGAGGTGCAAAAAATTAATAGAAATCCGTTTGGCAGAATAATTGCAAAGGCAAGCCGAAGAAATCGCCAAGTGAGTGAGATATCTTGTATTTTTTTTTTTTTTCGGTTCAGTGAACTCGTTACTTTGATTAAGTCGAATTAATTAAATTGCGCCCGGCAAAAGTGCTAATTAATTAACCAATTTAGAAGAAGGGCGCAATTCGAAGTTCTTTGTTGTCTGCGTTTCGAGTGCATTTCCCTTTTACGCTCCCCTGTATTCCCCTCTCTACGGTCTGGTCTTTGTTCTGCTCGTTCGCTCCTTCTGCATTTTCTTTGTTCGAAGTAGCGGCGCAGTCGGCGTCGCAGTCGACGTCGGCCGAGGCAGCTAATTTGCATTTGCAGATAATGGAGTGTGTGAAGGAAGGGGGTAGATAAAGGAGTGTGTGGAGTAAGGGGTTAAGTAAAGGAGTGTATGAGGGAGGAGGGTAGGATAAAGGAGTGTGCAGCAAGTGGGCGGGGCCTAATTATACATTACCTTTGGTTCCGATATGCAAATTACCACTAATTTTGTAAACAAGTAAAAAACAGGACACATATACAGGAGAGGGAAAACAAATATGTCTAAAACATAATTTTTGCAGAAAAATAGTACAGCCATAAAAATATTGTTTTTGTATTGTATTATAATTAAGAACACCGAAAATATTTCTAAAATTTATGAAAAGTATAGTAAAGATAAAACAATATTGATTTTAAAGCAATTGGGTGAACGGATTGCCAAAAAAAATACAGCAGACGTTAAAGATATATGAACGTCTAGAATTCTTTAGTTTTCTTTTAGTAGTATAGTAAAAAGTCTGTCTATTCACAGTGTTATGAAAATTTTTATTTAGTTAGTACTAGAAATTAAAAAAAAAAAATACCAATCATAGGTTTCCCGAGAGCCAGATAAATTTGCAGTACTCCACTGTATCGCACACTTACATATGTATATACCTCTTTCACAAAGGGAGGAGAGTCACTATATGTTTAATCGGTCATTGTCTGTGTCCGACTTCCTCATACCAAACCCCTATATTCCGCTTATCAGTAGGTAAACATCGGCGCGGTCAGTGAATAACAATTAACGACTTTGGCAGGAGTTAGAAGGAACAAAGACACAACCGCGCACATCTGGAATGAATAATAGACGCCAATTGGCATTATTCATGCGCATCCATTCATGGGGCCCCGAGATATGTCCCATTTAAATGGGGGCCCTACCTGGTCCCCAAATCGGGGCTTACTCACTCTTTCTGGGTTCGTTGTTTACTGCAAAGCGTTTCTACGCCCATTATTCATTTAGCACCCGAAGGCGCTAATAGGAAGAGTCTCTTCTCTGGTTTCTCAGGTCCACCTCGTAGATGCAGAATTCTGCCAAACTTTGCCAACCATGTGCAACTTTTGATATCCATTCATCCAATTTGGGCAAGGGTATGTTGTTTGAAGAAAACTTTAACCTTAATCTTGTGTCATATTTAAGGCTTTTGGGAGGCAAAACCTTTTGCGTTTGCCTTCAATAATAAATTCTATTTTGTTTGTCTGAAGGTTTATCTTTATATTTTCACTTATCAAAAATGTGTAATGTATGATTAATTCAACTGTTTATAAGTTCTTTTTACCGTGATATTTTCTAGTTAATATTTTGATTTTTTTAGTTGTACTGATCTTATTTTTTGTGACTCCATAAATCATCCCAAGAACTATACTATTAAAGCTGAAATCACAAAGTATTTACAGGGTATTTGTTGGTATAATAAACTGGACTAATATAGTTTATTTTTGTTGCGCTTTGTTTGGTTTCGGGGGCCAACTCTCATATCAAAGATGAGTAATATGTGATCGATTCAATTGTCTTTAAGTTATTTTTATAGTAATTGTTCTCAACCATCCGTTTTTTTTATAATATCGATCTTATTTTGGGTATATCCTGACACTTCTTGTATCTTGGGGTACCAAAAATCATCTTGAGATAATTGCCCCTATATACAGGGTAACTTTTGATCTGGTAAACTGGACTATATTTCGCCAGCTTATTTTGGTTGCGCTTTGTTTGGTTTCGGGGGCGGCAATTATCCATGGGTTGTCTGTTGCTTCGGTGTGTGTAGGCTGCTCACTGGAATTACCAATGCCTGAGGCAAGGAGATTGCAAATGAAAATCAATAATGGAAAAGCCCCAGTCATATCTACTAGCTAGACCTCTCTCTCTCACATACAATCGGACTGTTGCTCTGTTTTTCCTTGGCTCGATTTGTGCTTTTTGCATAACAGACAAACACATGCATTATTAATTTCGCCTTTTGTTTTCCACTTGCAGTTTTCTTTGGCAGGAAATTTGATATAGCCGGATCGGATCGAAATCGGAATTGAAATCAAATATACGGACTGAGAATCGCTGGAGAATCACTGGAAAATCACCGGAGAAGAGGAGAAGCGCCTGGCAAAGTGACTCTAATCGCAGCAATAATTGTTCAATGACAGCAGCCGCGGCAGTTTTTCCCGCTGCTGTTGCTGCTGCTACCGCTGGCCACGTCCCCTCCGCTTCCTCCGCCCTCGATAACGTCCCCTTTGCGGTGGAGAAAGCAGAAGAGCACAGTTAACAACGCCTTAGAGCGACGGAGACGGGAAGATTTCGTTGTGGTCCTGGTCAAGGTAAGAAGCTTCAAAACGAAATTGAATCGAAACGATCCCTTGTAACCATTAAAAAGACATACTGAACATAATTTTTTTTAACCTAGTCCCCGGTTTTTAAAAATTTTGAAATTTGAGAAGTAGTTTTTTCGAATACCATAAGGATCACAAAATAATGTACAATCAGCTCTTTAATATTTGAATCAAAGTAGACAACAAACATGTACGCAAGTTGCCAATGATTTTCTTGTTTATTCCAAATTGAGTAACAAATTACTCGTACGTGACCTCTGTTTTTCTGTTATTGCCATACAAAAGAGTTAATTGCGAAAATTAGGTAGTAAAGATTATTTTTATTATTTAAATAATGACTGATGAGCAAATTCCTTATTACAGAAAGAGGACCACTTAAGGGACAGACAACTAGAGGAGATCGCAGTCTATAACTTTCGTATATAGAGGCCGAGGAAACAAGGAGATCAACGCCAAAATGGTGAAGACGTTTCAGGCCTACCTACCGTCCACGAATCGGACCTACTCATGTGTTCACTGCCGCGCCCACCTCGCCTCCCACGACGAGCTCATCTCGAAATCGTTCCAGGGCAGCCAGGGTCCGGCCTATCTGTTTAACTCGGTGGTGAACGTGGCCTGCGGCCAGACGGAGGAGCGGGTGCTCCTAACCGGACTCCATGCGGTGGCGGACATCTACTGCGAGTGCTGCAAGACGCCGCTGGGCTGGAAGTACGAGCACGCCTACGAGTCCAGCCAGAAGTACAAGGAGGGCAAGTTCATTATAGAGCTGGCGCACATGATCAAGGAGAACGGATGGGACTGAAGGGCTGGCTGCATCATGGGCTGAATCAGGAGCACACCCGTAACAGGATCAGGAAAACAGGAACAGCAGCAGCAGCGGCGCCGGCGGGAAAAGCAGCGAGTTCACCACACAACAAACAACACACACGCGGCAAATAGCAGACATAGAGTGTTTACAAAATGGCTAAAGTCTGGAAACAAATGTGAATGGAGAGAATAGAGGAAAGAGGATAGGGTAACCGATAGCGGGGTGATCGAGTTTTAGGGTACCACAATATATATATACTATTATATAGTGCATAACTCGTCGTATCTTATAGAACAAATCAAACCAATCAGACACACAGATACACATCCACACATACGATCGATACACCCATTATTTAGAAAGCTTGATTGGGCTTAAGGGAAGGATCTCTGCGCTGGCCGCCATCTAGGATTTCCACACTTTTCATTTCGATTACCATTACCATTTAAACCACTTTGTTTTCCTTTTAACATTTTGCGTTGCAAGTTGATTCAATTATGTGTACTTTCTGTGCAGAGTTTGCCTTAATTCGATGATTTCAAATACACAAACTAACTGGTAAAAGCCACACGCAAAACAGAACTTGCACTGCCAATAAACAAGAGAAATGTTTAGCAACCAATAATAAAAACAGCAACAGAAGCAGGAACCATTTGAAAAACATACACAAACACAAGGCATGCGAAATCAAAAATCAGGAAAACAAAATGATAACACTCACCGACACACAAAATCACAACCACACACATTTTCAACGTAGTAGTTATATTTAATAAAATAATTAAAATTAATTATTTAATGCAATTTAGCTTGAAACAAACAAAAAAACACACGAAAAAGCGAGATAAACTTAAACTACATTTTTGTCAATGTGTAAAGCGAAAAGAACAACAAAAAAAAAACAAAGGCGGCAAAGGTGCGCATCCCCGCCGCCAGGTGGCGTCCAGCCGGAGGTCCTGCGATGTCCGTTGGATGCCACCTGCTCCTCGGGAATGATGCACCGATGCACGGGGGGAACAGGGGGTGGGAAATGAAAGAAATTATATAAAATACAAGCATATGGCATGCGTAACTTTAGAAAGAATATAAATATATATATGTATATGTATATTTATGTATGTGAGAGAAATGCGTATTTATGTCGCAAAATATCGTACATTAATCAAATCGAAGGAAAACTGGAGAAAAGCAAGGAAGTGCATATATATAATATATATAAAGCGATGGAAAAAGAAAAGAGCGCGAGCATATTTTTAAAGCAAAACGGATTATGAAAATATGTATATGCAAAAAAATAACTGCCAAGAACTATTCAAGTTAAATGATGTTCTCTAAGTAGTTATATAAATGTATCTGAGGAATATATTTTGTGGTAGCATTAAAATAAACTAAAATAAAAAGATAAACAAGAAAACGGAATACAACAACAGAGTTCAATAAAAAAAACAAAAACAAAAGAAATCAAATCCCTTTCGAAAACGAGTAACATTGAAATTGCTGAATACTTATTTGTGTCCTTAGTTTCATCTTCTTAAGCAATTGGCCGTACTTAAACTCGATCTATATATATCTTTATATTTCCAACTTAAAACCTAGTTTTGTCGAAGCTTTGAGCTTTGTTCGACCATTTAGGCATTGACTACTGTACTCCATGCATGTGATGCACCATGAACGAAACACAAATTTTAAAAACGGAATTCATACAAAAACGAAAAATCAACTGATGTTAGTATTTACATACATACATGCCACTATACATACTTGCATACATACATACTAAAACGAGACCACCTTTACATTAAAAAAAAACAAAAAAACGAACATTAAAACACATCCAAGTACAGTCAGCGACATGACGCCGCATGCAGCCGATTAAGATGTATTAAAATCTCAATTCAAGATTGCAATAAAGCGCATTTTTAGCTCAACCAAACAGTGTTTTCGATGGATGGGATTCTTAATTATAAGTAAAAGTCATTTGCTTTAAGTTCCATTTGTTTTATTTTTTTTAAGATTTTGTTATATTTTTTTGTACCTTTGCAATACAATTCTGCTTGTGTGGATGAGGTGTTTTCGGTTGCTTGTTACACATTTATGTAAGGCTTTTGATTTGTAATTGAAGTATTTGGGAGTGCGTCGTTTTAGCTTCTCAATTCTGTGTTATCATAGTTTTGTATAGTTCAATTTCAACTTCTGCGATATCTTAAATGAATTACGATATTAAATAATGTTTTCGTCAATTTGCAAACGAATGTGTGAGTATTGTGTTGTGAATGGCAACCGAATTGTAAAATCGCATTGTATTAATTGTTATTTGGCAATGTTTAACAATTGATTGTTTATGCTTGACAGTGTGGCGAGTAAATGGTGTGTTACTAGTTTCGTTTCTGTACATAAATTACGGCATCAGTCGACTTGTGACTTCCACTTGTTTTCCCCGTAGCACCATTTGGATGATATTCCAGTGATGGGATTAATCTGCAGCTGTATCATGCGGCGCAACTGGGCCGACCGGCGTTCCTCCTCGAACGTTTCCGGCATTTCCCCATACATCTTGGTCTTCAAGAGCATGGTCAAGCCGAGCGCAATTGCCACGAGCCACAGAGCGACGCCCAGACAGATCTTCCATTCCGGTGTAAAGTACTTGAACTCGACAAAGGTCTGGCAGAAACTATGCCGATAGAGCATCTTCTTGTCGTCCAGCGACAGCTTCTTCCAGTCGCCCAGCTCCTTCTCACGGATGGCGCACAATTCGGGGGTAACTTCGCGATATCGAATGGCCGGAAAGGGGCAATCCGTGCTGTCTAAGTAGACGGGTCGACCGTTGATCCCGTAGCCAACCACTTCGCGGTCGCCGATCATCAGGCGGATCCCGTCGCCTCCGCTCGCGAAACGTCGCCCCATCATCAACATCTGGCTTAGATTCCTCGCGTTTCCACGAGGAATCAAGCGCAGTGCCGACATTTTGACGGCACTGTACCTGCAAATACACACCTTTGAGTTGACTATACTTCTAGCTTATTTTTTTGCTTACCCACTTTTTTGTACACTTATAATTTTATTTTTTACAATTTTATTTTCGAATAATTTTACTGGAGCTCCGGCTCGTTGCCCGTGTCGCAGGCAAATGAAATTTCGTCTTGGCTGTAGGTCTAATTACAACTTTTGGCTCAAAAAAATTGACAGCTAAAAACCAGCAGCCTACTCAGATGTTCTAGAAATCAGAATTACTATTTTATGTGTTGAGAAACAATCAACATAAACTAGTACAGAAAAGTTTGGCGGAAAAGATTTAAATTAGAGATTTTAAACTGAACCAATCAATTTAAACAAATAAATATTGCATTTTCCTCAATGGAAGATATCAGATATTAAGATACTATCACAAAATGTTGACTGCAATCTATGTGATCCACTAATCCTTTATTCCGTTTCCTTTATTTTCGGAAGGGAAAAAGGGCAAAACTGACATGTGAGGGACAGTCTAGACAGGGGAACGGAAACCCTTCTCTGTGGAACCCACTTCTTCCCCTCGACCAATTCTGACGTGGGTCAATTTAATTTGAAGAGATTGTAAAGTTGAAATGGCTGTGTCTGTCACACCCGGAAAAAAAGAAATGGAGAAGGAGGACCCATTGTCTTGTCCTTTTTTGGGATCCGCATTTTCCCACACAAAATTTTACTGGAGGTGTTGAAGGGAAAACCCTTTTTTTTCTTGTTTGACGTTGAGCGGAGGGTCTTGCGTTTGATATTTTTGTGAACCATTTGTGCTCCTGTCAGCAGTTTCATTATTTTCCATTTTTTCGTTTGAGTGGGTGAAAGTATGAAATTCAGATGTCTTGATTGCAGGACCGAAAGTGAAATTGAAATTGAATATTAAGCCAGAATGGGTTCATCAGTTGACGACTTTAAGTAATTACGTTATTTCCATTCAAGTTTAAGAGAAATTGTTTTTATTTTAACTGAACATATAATATCATCAAATATGACTAGAAAATTTTGTTCACAGTTTAAGCTCAAACGTTTTAAAATTATTTGTTAGCTTATTTGCTGGCTATCAAACTGAATAAAAACTGTAATGAGAAATAGTAGGCTTTGAAAAGTACAATCAAAAATTATAAATAATTCCAGAAAAATTTCATTTCGGGTTTTTAACTCCACATTATGTATTTTAATAACGGCACCACCGCGTATGAGTGATATTGCAGACGCTAAGTGCAGCAGCACTCATACGCAGTGTGGTCACCGCTTATACATTTTTGGTTATTCTTTACCTCATCTGAATTTGGTCCATAAAAATATATAATCCTTTGATAAAGTTAATACTTTGTTTACTCTTTTAAAGCCGCATAATAATTTTAACACGGAGCACAGAGTAACAATGGAAATGTGGCCAACAGTTATTACTACTGATGATGCCCCGCTCTTCCCATCCCAACAAACTTCTGATTTACATGACCTCATGGGAAAAGAGGGGGGGATACAAAAAAAAAGGGGGGTTACCAAACTGCAGACCGGAGTTGGCTTCCAAGAACTTTTTCGACCAGACAACAACTAATGAATGATGCAACAACAAGGAATCGCACTGGCCAAGTCCGAAAAAGTAAACTCCCAATGGGATGGAGAGGGGTGGGGGTGGGGGGCTTGGGAAAACTGCAGTGAAACTCACCAGTGGGGTTTGAAAAGTCAGAGAGAGAAAAACATTTCCTGGTCTCGTTTGCTTCGTTTGGCGTGTCCCCTTTTTGGGTTTGTAAGCATTTAATTAATATTGAAAGCGACACATAAAAGGCTTAAATGCCCAGATCCCTCACAGATGCACATGGCTGCCACGAAGGCCCAGACCCAGATACACACTCGATCCGTGGAGTGCAGCAGGCTTCCAGCAGCAGGCCAATCATTTTTTCCAGCGCCATGTCAACGCAACACACATAAACCGGCTGACTGACTAACAGAGTGAATGGTTAGCTAGATGGCATAGTGGAGCGGGAAATGCACTGCGAAAATCAAGAGAGTTCCACTTTGAAAGGCCCCAAATGACTCTAAATATTTTACATAATTTGAACTTATAAATGCTAACGACTTTAACATTTGTGTAATGTACTGGCATAAACAGAATATTTAATTGTCTACTTTTAGGAATAAACATTAACAACAATTGGTTTTAAATTGTAAATTATAGTCATTATCATAATTATTGCTGTACACTTTTTCCTATAAACTTTTTTAAAATAATATTTGATTGCATACTTTGAGGATACAAAATTATAAATCTGAAGTTTCTAAGGATTTGGGTGTACACTTCAATAAAATGGTTTTAGTTTGGTTTAGAGTGAGCTACTTAATATGCTATTGCCTTATTTTAGCCTTCAAGTTTATGGTTATTCCTTTAGTTGGTAGGCTGATAAACAATTTTCTGCTATTAAATTCCGATTTCTTGCAGTGTGTATTGGGGAAGTAAGTCGAAGTGAGGGGTTGGTTTTACTGCAAGTCAGAAGTTAGCTGGGACCTTGTCCTGTCATCACTTCAAAAGTCTAATGGGCGCGTCAGTGCTCGGCGAGCGTTCAGTTTTGGTGCAGTTAGTTGACGGCGAGTGTCCCCGGGACTCCCAGCCCCCCTTTTTGGGCTGCCATGGGTGGCAGTTAGTCGCTTCTGTCATATGCACTGGCCCATCATTCAACGGGCTCTTCAGCCCACAACACACACAGGCACACACGCTGAAAGGAGAGCCCACAGTGGCTCAATCATCGTTGATATGCCCGAAACCCCATCCCCTCCCCCCTCTTTTTAAGGGGGCTTCCAGCACCACCCCCCTCCCCTCCCGGCCTCTTCTGATGCGCTTTTTGCCCCCTCCGGCTTTGTGAACTGACTCTGGCCCATTTGTTTCCGCTGGCAGCTCTCGCATTCCTCAGCGATTCATGGCTTGGCGGTTGAAAATCGACAGGGCGAGAGCTCTGAATTGAGTTTTAAGAGGGGACGACACTTGGATCCGTCCAACAGCTTACTGAACTGGAGCATATTTCACTCCAAATAACTGAAATGGATCGTACTTCACAGTCGCAGATGGAAATACACAATTGTTTAATTATTTAAATGCCTTTTGAGGAGTTTTTGACGCTTTAAGTTATGACCATTTAGTTTTCTCTTTTTAAGATGTCTGTAGTTTAGCAAGCTTCTGTTTATCAAAGCTCAAGTTGAATTAGATATCGCATTTTACTTTAATCTCTGAAATATCTATTGATTCCAGGTTGATTTGCAAAGAATAAAATAGTGCTGCTTTTTTTTTAGGCTTTTTGCCATAAGGGGTACCCCCTGATTATTTTGCGACTTGCTTCCCCCATATCGATCTTATTTTTATGTCGGATCGAAGAGTGCATTTTTCGCCCAAGGGTCGCCGCACATGAAGCTCTTAGAAATTCTGGTCGCCCTTGGCGACATTTACGTAAGTATATATGGGAGTGTGTGGGAAAAGCGCATTGCGACGTTGGCTGGCAATATGCCCGAAAAACATGGCCCCCTCGTAAACCCCCAACCCACCCCCAGTACCGGAATTTCCCATTCCAAGTGTCATAAAGTGACAAATCCATCAACGGCTCGGAAGTGAAATGATGCGAGGCGTGAGCAATTTGTCTCGTCTGAAACGAAACGAAATGAAATGAAATGAAATGGAACGGAACCGGAATGAAACGGGATGGGAATGGAAACGGGGAGGGGGTTCCCGGGCAATTCAATTGCAGAACATGCGGGATGGGATTTTTCCGAGTATGAGGAGGCCAAATCGCTGGCCGCATAACCATCCATCGTAAAAATTCTTTATATGCCTGGGTGCTAAAAACTAAATTAAAGAGGAATATTATTCGAGGTCTGTGGCAATCTGTCGTTTATGTTACTCCTTAAGGCCGCCACTGATGTTAAAATAGCAATGAAACTGGCAAGTAACTTAATGTTCAGGAGCCAAAGAAACTTTATACAAGGAATACCAAAAATCAAAATAACTAGAATTTTCTTATGCAAAATAATTGGATATTATTGAATTACCAATTTTAAAAATGGTTTCTTAACAACTTGTTAAAATTCTTTTACTAGATTTAAAAGCAGAATTTGAACTTTTTGATTTTAATTTAAACTTCATTTTTATTGCTGCTTTTTGATGTAGAAGTTTCATGCAATTTTTCCTCTTCACAATAATTCCTATATTCCGTATGCATCTTTTGCATGTTGGTTTTTTTTTCGAAATGTTCATCGCAAATATTGAACGAATGATGAATATGCACACCTCGGTCCCCCTTCACACCCAATTCGAAACTAAATAAATATTTTTGTTGTATTTGAATTTTATTTGCCTGACTGCTGCAACTGAAAGTCAATATATGTGCTATATGCAAAGATATATGTATATTCCCATAGATATATATGTTTTTTGCAAACTAAATTGAGCGTATCCTTTCGTGCCTTACGGTGCATTATTGGCCATGCTGAAACACACAATCGCGTATACATGGAATTGTAAAGGGAGTGACGGACAAAACAATCACATAAATTGTTCATAGTTCATTTCAACGCTTTCGGTGTGTCCGCTCTTAGCTGTCGATTTAATACCATTTCTACCCGGCATTTTTGGGTATAATGGGTTGTTGATTTTTGCGTTTTGCACAGCCCATAAAGTATATCAGAACTTTCCCTTTTAATCTCATTATAACTATTTTATTTTCCTTCTTTTCTGAGAGTTTCATTAATTTATACTTAAACTGCAAATGTACATTACTCTTCATTATATTAACACTGAAAAAGTATTTATAAACAGTATACCAATAATTTGTTTAACACAAAAAAGAGATACGTTATTATGAAGTTTTAATTGTTTTCTTTTTGTAATTTCGATCGTTCTATATAGCTAACCCTTTCTGATTTTTTCCGACCTGCTAATATATATGTTTTTCTTAGTGCATTCATGGTATTTATTGTACTCGTGTTCGGCCATAAGCCGTTTATGCCCTTGATTTATTATGGGCCAACAAATCACCAATATGTTGGCCCAAAGCCCACCCCCGTCGATGTTGGTGCATTTTTAATACATTTCGTGGAAAGGTGGAAAAGCACTGACATTTGCATTGTGCCCGGGGGTCCTTGAAGGAAGACGTCGAATTAAAG